GGGAGCAAGAGGAATTATTGATTCCCGCTTGGTCATCGTGCTTAGATAAAAAGCCGACGGTGAAGCAATAGTGTGATGGATTATGAGCACACACCTCTGAGTCAAGCTTTAGGCTGGTACTCTTTTAAGGGAAAAATCAGATTCTCAAGGGAGCTGCAAATTGGACTTTTAGCATTAACTGTGGCTAAAGCTTGACTCAGAGGTGTTTCCTCATAATCCGTCACACTATTGCTTCACCGTCGGCTTTTTAGCTAAGCACGATGACCAAGCGGGAATCAATCTTTGGATGTTGGATCTAATATGCACACGGTTAAATTTAAGATGCATCAAAATCTTCCCTCAAGCTCATTTCTTACTCACGGGTCAGTGCTGGCTTAGGTTGTTGTAAGACCAAATACACTGTTGACACTAAATGAGAGGCATAACCATTCTTGCCCCCCCCCCCCCCCCCCCAAAACAACCAAAAAAAGGGAGAGAGAATGCAAATAGCTTTCGTTCAAATCCACAAAGAGTTGGTACAGTAAGTTACAAATGTTGATGACCGAAGCATACCTCAGGGGCCATCCATCTATAGGTCCCAGTCTCCGCCGTCATGACGCCAGTCTGTGCCTTCACTCTGGCAACACCAAAATCAGCCACTTTAACAACCTGAAATAATAGAGTATCGGGTAAACTTGATATGAAACAGAACATGTTGTGTTAGCATAGCGGGTTGATGAAACTAGAAAAATAAAAGGAGACTGATGTCTGATAATTTATGAAAGGACATTAGAAAATGAAAGCTGATGAGAAGTCTGAGAAGATTAATAGTTTGCTATTACATGGCTTTGGCAAGCTCATTTAGGTCCTTGCAGTGGAAAAAGGAACACAATGCATATAATTTCCAAGAAATTTAGGAAACAAAAGCAGACCTTTTTATGCTATAAGTAGGAAAAAAGAAGCAGACTGTCGAGTACAAACAACTGAAAATCTAACTTTTAGGCTAGAATTTCACCAACAACTAATTTCAAAAGATTGGGAGGATGAAGCACTAACTAAAATCCAAGAAAAGATACTAATGCTACAACCAAACAAACCATACCAAAAACTCAGAATATTTGGTCACTCAAGCAAATTCACCAAAGGGTTTAACTTTACTCGAACTGTACATACAAAAAGAAACTTTGATGAAAATTAAAATTCGATGAAATAAAAAGAATTGAAAGGAAAGGTAACACCAGAAAGTAACACCCTAAATCCATTTCGCAGTTCCATCTCCAGTCTTAGACTAGGACAGTAGAGAAAGGTAGAGCTGTTGTACATTATCAGACAAGGAGGAAAGTAAACATCAACTCATAGCATGTCAACCTCTTTGAACCTTCCAACTTTTTACTAAAGGAGGCTTCAGGCAGTAAAGATTTTGATTGCTTAATCAAAACCTGTTCTTCCATGTGTTGTATGTCTATTATGAATTATAATAATTATCAGTCTTTCAAAAATGAATAAGTAATTATCAGCTTGAAGCATTAGTTCCTCTCTCTTCTCTGCTTCAGATTAGGAAACTGCTTATAGCTTATCTGCTAAAGTTCATAGAAAATAAAGAGAAAAATGCATTTCCGCCCATCTTCAAAAGTGTTGGGAAGAGTTTAGGCCCTCCATTTTTTGTTTTCCTTCCCATTCTTGAACAATATATAGCCTTAAAATTTGTTCAGTCACAAATATATATCTAACATGTAGTTCTGGTTCTGGCTATCCCGTGAAACATGAAATTTCATGATAAAGCTCAAACTAAAAGATGATTCTTGCTAGTTCTTGAAAATCGAAGCATGAAATTTTGGATATGTCCATGAAAATTTTCATGGATCCAAAACCAAAACATGGTTATCTTTCAAGAAGCTCATCAATAAGATGAACACAATTTCACTTAGCGAAAGAGTCAAAAAGAAAACATTATTAATGAATCATTAGTAGAGATATTGTTTTCCCTACAAGTCCAGTTAATCCCAGGATGACATCTGCCATGGCTATCCGATATGCAATTGAAAAACTAATCCTTTGAGTTGTGAGGTCGTCTCCTTGAGTATCAGCAGTTGAATATAGGTTGCATGGAATGGAACTTACTAAAGCAAAGATTCACTCTCATATTTAGTTTGTCAAAAATGGACTGGTATAGATTATAAGATTAATCAATCTAAATATGACAGCTGAAAACATCTACCAATACCATAGCGAAGAAAATTTACATTATTATTGTCCTTAATGGGATAGTATCTTACTTCATTTTCATCCATCAGTAGATTGGCAGCCTTCAAGTCCCTATGTATGATATTATTCTGATGCAGGTAATTCATTCCTTTTGATACATCAATTGCTACTTTGAGCAAAGTAGGAAGTTTAAAACTGCCCTTTTGTTTGTGTAGATAGTCATATACACTTCCTCCAGACATGTACTCTACAGTTAAGGAAGTAAAATCATTAGTAAGAAAAGTCATCTGGAGAAGGCAAGAAAAAGACAACCACGCTCTCAGAACAAAATATGCTGTCTGTAGCCTAAGTTTCCCTGACTAAGCTATTTATGTACCTGTCACTATACACAGATTTGGGGGCCTAGTACATGCCCCTATGAATTGCACAACATTTTTGTGACGAACTTTTCTGCAAGCACAGGCAAAATGAAGTGTCAGAGAAATTAAATCTTGAAATGATATATAGTCCTTGCCTACCCAACACACCCAATTGCATCCAAGAATGGAAAATAGAACAAATGCATATAAAAAGAGAGAATGATCGGCTAATTCATTAGGGATTATAGCAGTGACAATCTAAAACATCACTGTTATTCCTTTAAGCTACTCTTTCCTAAAGCAACAGAAGGGAACATATATAACCTTTCTGAAAAAATCAGTAAGATGGGAACATATGCACGTCAGCACGTATACATGCAGCAATAAAAAGCAGTAAGAAACCACATCAACAATGAGCGCCTGCTCTACCCCAATATAGAAAGAAAAGCAGTTCTCCCAAAATTATTGCAACAAAAACAAATCATGCTCCTTCACAAGATACAAAAGTAATCTCAGGACAAAAGAAAACTAGAGAGGGAACTAAGAATGCAGATGTCGGGTCATAATAAGCTAAGCAAATAGAAAGAAGTCAAGGTTTCCATAACCTTCAAAGGTACCATGTTATCCAACAAACCTCATGATATAAACTTCTTGGGCAAACTCCTTTTGCAATTCTGTGTTCAAGCGCTCAGATTTGAGGATCTTGATAGCCACTTCCTGACTGCAGTATGTACCTTTGTATCTGAACAATCAGATACCTAATGAAGTTACTTTGATACTAAATGAATCATAAATATGATTTAGTGCAAGACAAATTTACAAGTCACCATCATTATCAAAAAAACTTACAAGTCACCATATGAACCAGAAGCAATCTTGTTTTCGAACTTTAGAAGTTGATGATCGATTTCCCAGACATCAACGCCATCACAAGGTATTGTCACGGGATCAAACTCACATTTGATCAGTGTTTTGATCTCCTCTCTAAAAGATTCTGATGGACTTTGACTTGGTGAAGATTTCTGCATGCACTACTCTGGTTAAAGAACAATTAAATATAACCAAACAAAATAACTGGAGAAACTTATATTTCTTAAAAAATGGAAACCTGGAAACAAAATATTCATTTAAGTAATTGCGGAGTTTCAACAAGGGAAAAAACCCAATACATCTATTTATTCGGCAAGCAAGTGTTTTTATTATGATTTCAATTCTAAGTATGCGAACTTAAGCTTCAGAAGTTTGGTGTTTTGGGAGATGGGTACCGTATTTTGGAATTTTTATTTTAACAATGAAACCTAACCAGATGAGCAACCATTGGAAGGAATTAAATCCAGATAGCAAAGCAATGAGTCATAGAGCGTGTGTGATATGTCTATAATCGCATAAGGATTGATGACCTAAAGTAGAAATCTGCAAGTTACAGAAGCATGACAGCACACCGTTCCTTGCAAACAAGACATATCTACTTCAGCTGATAATTGTTAAGGAAATAGACCTTAGGCCTAACCAAACACCATAGGCTAGCTCATGAAATGAGGATTTCCTGAAATCATACAAGAAGACAACAACCACACCCTCAAGGCGTCAACCAATGTGAGAAACTTAACACCCCTGCAGCCTAGCCTTGGACAACTGAAACGTGGATAACATAACATGGGGCCTAAGATTGAGGATAGGGATGAGCCTGGCTCTGATACCTTGTTAAGAAAGTGGACCTTAAACCTAACTCAACATCAAGAGCTATATCATGAGGCGAGGATTGCTCAAAACTATATAAGGAGGCAACAATCCATTTCTCAGCCAATTTTAAAAGACTGACAATAACAACTATTTTCCCTTTGACGCGATCTCAAATATTAGCAGAGGACTTCAAAAGCTTCTTCCAACAAAAAGACCGACAATAATAAAAGGCAACAGCAGCATGATAAGAACAAATCAGCAAAAGTGGACCATACAGATTGAATCCATAGTGATATACGACCTCTGGCCACAATTAGAAACAAATTTGACTATAGACTACAAAAGAACCCCATCAATAAAACAATTTTAAAAATCTAGAATTTTGGTTAAGTCATTCTGATTGCTATAAACATATTCTAGTTTCAAAGAATCAGCACTAAGGAGTGTCCTGAAAATTGGTTGGCATAACTTGGGTAAGTAAGACCAGGAGATACCTTAATCCTCAGAATTTCCCTTTTCAGTGCCATTCGAAGCTGCTCAACTTCCTGACAAGAAACAAAATATTAGTGCTCCAACAGAAATGAGACCACAGGAAAACAAGCATCCATCAGCATTCCTACCTCTAACTGAGTGATAGAGTTGGCATTTGAAATAAGCATCTTTCCACTTACTATTTTACAAAAGATAAGAGACAAATTAATGCACAAACATGGAAATTCGACATTGAATATTTACTAAGTAAGCACTACACAAAGTGCCCCCATTCCATGAGCCAGTGGAAAACACTTTTTGAGCCAGTACTTTCTTCTCCCTAGTTTAGATGTTGAAGATGAAAGTTTTAAAAAGAATGTTTTTCCAATTAATAACAATTGCATAACATCTGTTAAAGAGTGATGTATTTACTACATACCCAAGAAAGGACAGAAAAAAGCTAAATTGAGGTAAAAGATGATATGTCATCTACCAGTTCTTTGTATTAGGTGAAAGATATAATAGGACCTTAAGATAAGAGCGGATCCAAGTTGACATTTTGCAATAGTATAAAAGCAGTGAGCATATTATGGCTGAAAATATACCTCATAGGGCCAACCATCAACAACGAAAACATCGAGGGAGTATCCATCAACAGTGGAAAATACATGTGCTTCCTGAATGTTCAGCCCAAGCTCAGCTAGTAATGAAGTTAACTGTCACACATTGAAGGGATTCATTAATGCTTTACAGTTTTTGAATGATAAGAATATGCAAACTAATATAAGCTGCAAGATATGTAGTTTAGCACATACAGCCCTTCTAATAGTACCACATCACAATCCAAAAAGAACCGACAGGCTTTTATGTATTATTGCATCACCGAAAACAAGTTTGCTGCTTCACCTACGGTTCTTGAAACCCCAGGTCATAAAACCCCAATAGTCCTTACCTTCAAGGATGTTGGTCAAATAACTCCCCCCACCCCCACCCCCACCCCCACCCCCACCCCAAAAAATAAAAAATAAAAAAGAAACACCACCCAGAAAAGGAACCTTTAAGATTCATAAATTTTTAAAACTACAAGTGTTAGTAGAGATTGTTTTCAATTGTAGAAACATGACCTTATTAACTGTCAAATCCAAAGCTCAGTTTTGCTCCCACCTCTATACCAGCAGGGGTTTACATTTCTACCAAGCAAAAGAGTAAATCAAATAAAAAAGCACATCCAACTACCTGACTGAGGAGCTTCGGCTTGTCATCAGTTGAAAACGTAATTTCATGCATGGGCCTGTCATAATTATGTACCATGTTCAGTAATAAGCTTCAAAATCTATACATGTGGCATGCACAACCGAAGGAAACAGAATTGAAATGATTTCCACCTTGATGAATATTAATGTAATCATAATTTTCAAATGGGTGATAGTCACGCATACACATTACAGTGTTAAGTTAAAACATAGATTTTGGCAAAACAAGGGGAATCATCACAACAGAACAGTGGGGCCAGATTGTTCCAAACTTTTCGCAGGTGTCCTCTATGCATCATCATCATGTTATAGGGATAAAGGAGTTCAGGACATAAACTAAGACAATAAATTTATATCTCAAGACTGTATACCGTAGCAAATTTCCACAAGTAACAGTAGCATCCCCATCTTGAACTTCAGATTTGTTAGCTTCAAGAGCAAGTGCTTCGAGATTAGGCGAAGAACCAAAGGCAGGTAGAGGAAGGACACTGCACATAAAGATGGAGGGAACATTTTAGCATAATCAAAAGGACAAAGGTCGTGCTGAAGTAAATACTTGAAGGAGGTGACAAAGCATCAAATAAACAGTACTCAGAGACAGTGTAATGCCATATATTAAACAGCTTTTTCAGGTACCTTCGGCTAATTTCCTTGTTTGCGGAGCTAAATGGAACAGAATCTATTGAGTTTCCATCAGGAACTGGAGGAACCTGCATAATGCCACATTTGATTCAACACGCAACTACGAGTAACTTGAAGTTAGAACTGAAGCAAATAACAAGGAGAATATAGAGGAACCAGTTAGGATGAATTAAATCAAAATGAAATTATCAGAAACCTGAGACTTCACTGGTTGCAGATAGAACTTTTCCACTATGACAAAAACATAAATTGAAGGTGTTGAAGTGAAAGAAGCTGATAAAATCTAATTCAGTGAAATGTCTGGTCAAGTATAACCTCTACAAAAATGCAGATGATTTACCTTACAAACTCAATCCATACCTATTCCTACACATCATGCATGCGATTATGATAACAAGTGCTAACAGCTGAGCTACTAATATTCGATTAATCGAGAAAAAAATGAACAATTTTAGCCGCAATTAATTTGGCATAAATTGAACCAAAGTTCTATCCAGCAAAAGTAACTAACCTGCACCAGCCGGACATCAAAGGCAGGTCTATTAGCCGGATCATGTGCGAGATGTAGTAACCGCTTATGCGTCAGTACATCTTCTGCACTTTCAACATTCACATCTAACGCGTACCTTAAAATCCCAAAAAAAATTATCTAATTAATTAATTGAAGAAAAAACTATGCAGCAGCTTATTTTGCTAAGGTATACGAAGCACACATATACGAATGTATCTGCAAACCAGAAGAATTATCAACATAAGCAAATTCACATGCTTCATTGAACTCTTATTTCGATCTGAAATATAATTTCACATTCACCAGTAGAACAAAATGAGAATTGATAACCTCAAAATTTTAACTGGATAACAAATCTCATCAGGCAAAACGGCACCGCAATCAACTCAATTCCAAATAAATACAGATAACATTAGCGATCATCTGCTAATACATCTTACTATTACAACAAAAACTGCATATCGAGAGAGAGAGAGAGAGAGAGAGAGAGAGAGAGAGAGAGAGAGAGAGAGAGAGAGTGAGTTTTTACCGAGTAGGAAGGCGATTGAAGTGAGCCCAAAGCTCATCGTCAAAGGCAGGCTGTTGAGCCTCAACGTTGTTTGATTGTTTGAGCCGCCGAAGTACCTCATTGTAAACCTCCAATTTTTTACCGTGTTGACGACTGTTCGTCGGCGCTGAATCCACCACTCTACTACCACAACTTTCGTTATCCTCCATCACCATTTCAACTCTCTCTTCCTCTACCTTTTCTAGAATCTTCTCTTCACAAAAACAATGTGCTCACGTCTAAAAGCATAAAATCAAGTTACTACCATAGGAATTGGGTAGGGCGGAGTGGTTGTGAGGGAGCTCTTGTCCTCATTGCTTCTCTCTCTTTCTCTCTTTCTCTCTCTGCGCAATCTTCACGTCGATTTTGTTGATACGATTGTCTTAGGCTTTTGATTACCTTAATTAGCTTAACCTTTGGGCTTTATACTTATTATTCAAGTTATTGTTTTTTTCCCTCTGAACTGGTGAGTTGAATAAACTGTATTAAAAGCAAAAGAAATACTAGTACTTGGGTATTTATATTTGTAAGAAAGAAGAAGGATTATGGATAATCTCGAGGAATTGGTAGCTGCGCTGAAAAGAAAGCGGATCAAGCCACCGCGTCACCTAAAAGTAACACCCTTTCAGTGCCAGTAACTGCCGCTTCTTATTTTCAAAACGCCCCATTACCTAGATCTACCTATAATCCAATTGATACTCATATTTACATTAATTCACTAAATATACATGACATAACTTTGTATATATTGTTATTATTTAATTATAATTAATTAATATTACTTTATTTTAATTTATCACTTAATTATATTATAATTTGATATAAACAGCAGTTGTACGTTATTTTTTCCTCTAGTTCTATCGAACCCAATTAGATCCTAATTACTCCCTCCGTTCATTTTTACTTGATATGTATACTAAAAATATATTTTTATTTTTACTTGTCACTTTACGCATATCAAGATAAGACAATTTTTTTTCTGCCACATTATTTATTACTCATTTCAAATTATTTTTTCAAATCCAATAAAATATGCATCAATTAATATGGGTATCATAGTAAATTATGCACTTTATTTATTATTTCTTAAGGGCGTGAAAAGTCAAAACGTAGCAAACAAAAATGAACGGAGGGAGTAAATCGCGGTCTGATGATTTAGGTCCAATGGCTTCTCATTTCTCAACACTCTACAATTACGTAAAATTATACTCCGTGGCTTAGCCATATAGAATAATGGATGGTCAGTTGAATATTCTTTACTCTGAAAATTGCATCGCTTAAATAGAAAATTATAAGTCAAAAGTTACTTTTATAGTATACATCAAACACTCTTGACAAAATCTCTGGTTTCGCCTCTATCCTAGTCACGTAAATTTGATGTCCGGGTCTTCTTACAAATGATAACTTTGATTTTCAATGTTGTCATCCCAACAGCGGTGAAAATAGCACGGGCTAGTTAGTATTTGGACTGGTAATTGGAAAATAACCAACGTTTGTGAAGCCATTAAAAAATAGCCATTATTTTGTTGAAACACGGCAAGTTCCAGCAAAATATGAAGGATTTATGGAGCTCCTGTATAAACTTCCTGCATATTATGTTGGAACCCAAGCAGACGGAAAGTTCCAGCATATTATGCTGGATTATGGAGCTCCTGCATATAAACTTTCCGTATATTATGTTGGAACTCCGGCATATTATGAAATTCCAGCACATTATGCTGGAAGCTCATATGTAAAAAATTCGAACTCCGGCATATTATGCCATAATATTTCCGGATTTTTAAGGATGTTTTTTATTCAGATTTTATCTTTACATGAAAAAGTGACAAAATTACGATTACTTTTGAAACTATGGCTATTCTTCAATTATCAGTTATAAATCTGACTATTTTTTGTTATTTTTTTCCCAACAGCAGGGTGGCTAACTTAGTTCATTCATTATTCTCCTTTGAAACAAACAATTTAATGTATGTTTATATATTATTCAACGAATACCTAAAAATTAATGCGATTATGGTTGTCAATTAATCTGAATGGTGATTACTATCGCATCACAGCTTTATGTTTGCTTGTTTTATCAATGATGTTTGTTGCATCTATATTATTACTTCAGCTAATATTTTGAAAACTGTCTCGTTGCTTTGTAGCACGTCTAAACTAAGTTAGTGGAGAAATAGCGACGAGAGTTATGGTCGAGTGGTAAGTATTCATTCATCCTTAATTAGAGGTTTCGTATTCAAGCCTTGGGTCTAGATTCACCTTTGTTAGGAAGCACTTTACTTCCAATGTTGGATTTTTCGGCGCGAAGTTTGAATTTAGTCGGACTCCAATACAAGTACCGAATACCGGATAAGAACCAAAAAATAAAGTTAGTGGAGAAATGTGAAAAGCAGATATGAGAGTGTTTGGATTCTGAGGAGGAGAATCAATAGTGAATCTTTTTCCCATTCATTTTAGTTGGTGTTTGGAAAGGAGTGGAGAAATTGAGCTTCGCTTATGTCGTGGATATCGTCCAATATCAAGAAAACCACATCTTTTTCTATGCACAAAACTCTCTTTGGCTGCTTTTAGGCTTTTAGATATTCCTTTACATTGTTATTTTCTTTTGCATCAAGGTAATAATATCAACCCACACAAAATTCTATTTTTACTGTCACATTTGGATAAGAATAATATTGTTGACAATTTTTATTAACAAATAAAACTACTCAATCGAAGACATTTTCTACAAAAATGTGAATTACAATTAAGATGTGTTAGTATATAATTATAATATGTGCAAAATCCATGCCATCAACTTGGATAAGAATATTGATGTTTGAAAGTCAAAAATTATATTTGATTTGATACGCGAAGACATTTAATCCAAAACGTGAAAGTCACAATTAAACAGCCCAAAAAGGAATATTAATTTAAGCTACCAAACACTCCGTAAGCAAGTAGGTTTTCTTATAGCTAGTAGAGCCACAGCCTTTGACCCTTTAGCATTTCTTTTTTCACGCGATGAGATTGACCTATTAAGTTGATAAAATTGTAACTTTATTCGCTTACTAATTGAAATATTTTAATCACAAATGTGATATTTGTAATATATGTTGTGATAGTCTTGTGTCGATTATAGATTGAATAATTGATTTTCTTATATAGTATTGAATAATTACTCATCTCGTGATCTGGCTTTTGAAATTGCGTTAGATTCAAAGTTTATTTTTTCACATGATATCAAACCATCAGAGTTAGACCCATCTCGATTTTGATTTAATGGATATTGGGCCTACATGTTATATCATACACTCTCCATAGATGTCTTATCTTGAGTGTACAAGGGTATTAGGATAATCTCAAATTGGTTGTAGATGGGGTAATTAATCTTCTTATATAATTTGCGCAATACTCATGCTAGGTAGGGTTAGGCGTTCGAGCAGTTCGAATTGAATATGAAAATTTCAGTTTGGATTTTTGGTTTTCGGGTCTAAGAAATGACAATCCAAATCCAATTCAAATAAGCTCGGATTGGATCGAATTTTTTAAGTTCGATTTCGGATTAATCGGTAGGATATTTTGAATTTTCGGTTTAGAGCTTATAATTTGAGACGTTTCTTCTTTTTACAAAAATGAATATCCAAATGAACTACTCATATTAAATTACGTGAAAAGTTCCTCATTCTTACCGCAACCATCCAAATAAAGTATTCAAGTAATGAAATTATTATCAAGGAAATGCAACAGAGATATTAATACGGATGATAAGAAGTAGCTATAGTAAAATCATATCCAAATAAAAAGTATTATGACGGTAATGTAGCAATTAATATTGAACATATAGATAATATCTAATGGGTAGGGTGTTGAATTTATTACTATTGGCATGTGGATAATGGACTAAATATAAAGTATAAATTTTCGGATTTTCGGATATCCAAAATTCCGAAGTACCAAATCTATTATCCAATCCGAAATCAAAAAATTTAAAAAATCAAATCCAAAATCAAATCCGTAATCCCAAAATCCAAACCAAATATCCAAAAAAATCTAATTTCGGATTTGCCCAAACTATACCCTCACCTAGTGCCAGGAGTTAGTTTTTGAATTAAGTAGATCTCATGTCTATTCTTTCGCCAACTAAAAGATTTTGTATTATGACTGATCACGCCCAACTATGCCTTATAAAAAGGATAAAGCGGTCGTTGCAAATATATTACGGTTAACAAGTCCGGAGTCGAACCCCACAGGGAATTAACCTATCAACCACAGCTATTGGACTCACAGAAATTCATGTATTCAATTTTCACAGATATTTGAGTAACAAATTGGGTGTTTATGAACTAAATATTACGTAGTAAAAAATGCAGTAATTAAGAACTAACTATAAATGGTTTGTAAGCAAGAATGTGAGTGATCTAAGATTATGATTTCCCCTGTTGTCGGAATCCTTTCCACTATGTTTGCTATAAATTTGCCTAAGTCTTCTCTATCGATCATGAGCACTCTGACTGTCATAAATCTTTCCCGAGTAATTACAACAATATACTAGACATATTCTCCCGAATTACGCTAGCTAGCTTTAAGTACAGCTCACTTAGATCGCACTCAAGGTTTCGTTATCCCTAATCCCACCTTTAAACCCTTCGTATTGATCCCTCGTATACGTTAGCGGTGATGATGTTCAACAACTACCTAAATATGCACTCTCTCCCGAGTAATGCACACTAAATAGGAACAGCTAATTGAGGTCCCTTCAATCAACAGCAATAAGCATATAGTTGAACAAATAGAGATAATACTATGAAAAATCTATATTAACATAACGAGAAAATCATCCTTCAACAGGTTCCATCAAAACCCTAGATTACGTATTTGGCTACTCATGCTCATAGTAACACATTCCCAAATAATTTGCATTATAAAATTACAAATTAAAGATGAAGGAATGAAGAATTCGATGATAATCTCCTCCGGAAATAGCTCCAAATATTTTCTCCCTTCCGAAATAGTTTCCCTAGGTCTCCGGTGTGTCCAAAGTCCTCAAAATAGCGTTTTTATATGTATTTATAACAAGTAGGGTCGGGCCCAGACGAAACACCCTTTCCTGCACGAAATAGGACTTGGCTCTGTAAAATTTGTACAGGCGTGCCGCACGCTGCGACGCACAGTGCGGTACGCTTGTGGGGAAGTTCAAAGGCTGTTTTTAGACGGACTGTTGGAAAATTGCACAGATGCGGCGCACGCTGCGGCGCACTGTGCGGCGCGGCAGTGCAATTTTCTCAGAGTGAAATTATTTCATCCTCTTTTGACATCCAGACTTGGTACACAACCTCCGAACACGATCCCGGCTTAATGCATTGGGCTTTACTCGGACTTCAAAGCTCCAGATTGATCGATTTAGCTCCAAATTAACTTTTGAACTCGGGATCACTTCCTGCAAGGCATAAAACACGTACTAAGTGTAATTCACTATCATTTGAGCTTAAGCACACGTAAAAATGCAGTATCTGGAATGTAATACTACGGCTAAAACACGGGTTTCTAGCCTAACATCAACGACATTTATAATCAACTCATAATTTTTTCTTTCTGTACTCTAAACATTATATAGTCCTAAATTAAA